ATTGATGTGACGTGGTTCGAGATGTATTTCCACAACGTTGCAATTCTTGATAAAGAAAAAAAAAATAATAATAATGACAAAAGCGGTTAAAATTTAAAACTCGCACATGAGCTCATAATTATAAAATCAGATAAACAAGCCGAATATGACAGTTGAGCGACCGTGCTAGAACCACGGAACTCGGGAATGCCTAACACCTTCTCCCGGGTTAACAGAATTCCTTATCCGGATTTCTGGTTCGCGGACTGTAATACAGAGTCATTCTTTTCCTTAATTCGGGATTAAATTGGTGACTTGGGACACCCTAAATCTCCCAAGTGGCGACTCTGAAATAAATAAACAAATCCCGTTTTGATTGTCCTTTAATTGGAAAAACTCCTTCACCCCTTGCGGGGGCGGAAAAAGGAGGTGTGACAGTTTTGATATTACTTTACCCATATTTTAACCGTTTTTTGTTGCTATTTGGTGTTAAAAATGCCCAACATGGTTTAATTATTGGTTTTATGACTAACGGAGTTGTGTGTGATGATTTAGGGTGTTTGGAGTGCAAAATATGAAGAAAAGATGTTCCAACTAGAGGAAAAGAGGAAGGTACTTGGTACGCCCCTTAGCAGTGAAGTCAGCCTATAGCATCCCCATAGCATCCGCACCTGGGCAAAGCTGAGATGGAGGAATTCGTATCCACCTTAGCATGCAAAGCTGATAAGCGGAGGATGAGGTGGATGCGAAGCATCCACCCCAGCGTCAATCCCCGAAGCAGATTCGGACTAGGATTAGGAGAACTTTGGCCCACGACTTTTGTACGCAATATATAAGCCAAAACACCTCTTTTAGGTCATCTAACATACTTTTAAAGGGAATTCAACCTAAGGAGAGCAAGGAGCCGCCGTGGAGGCCGAGTTTCATCTTTCTTTCACCAAACTTATTAATTTTTATGTTTCTTTGTATGATTTGTTGTTCTGCTACCATGTCAATGTGGAGCTAATTCACGTTCTAGGGTTGTGGTTCTTTCATGACTATTGTTATTCGGATATTGATTTTGCCTTATTGATTTGTCATATTGGTTTATTTATTCAATCTTGCGATTAACTATTTGATCGCTTGATCACCAACTGAATACTATCTACGAATCTAGAGTTGAACTCGAAAGTGGGAATTCTAGATTGCATATAGGATGGAATAGAGCAAGTTCTTGAACCTGGGCATCGGGGAACGGATTCGCGGTTAGGATAGACATATACCTAATTGCCTTGCTTGGTTGATTTTCAGGAACTATAAATGCATTCTTGTCAGTTCTAACTCCATAGACATATAGGTGTTAGGTTAGCATGAATAGGCGAGTAAGAACTTGACAGATTCTTATGAGAAATATTAACCTTTTTCACCAATAAACTAGATAAATTAGTTAGTCAATTCAATTGAAGAATACAATAAGATTATTAGATAGCCCATGACCTAGATCGTTTTCATTACATTGATAACATAAAAATCTACTCTTCCTTTGTTCAGAGTTCATTATTTATATTTATTTATTTAATTAGTTTATAATCAAATACTTCTAGGTTTAATTCTTGTTTAGATAATTAGGATAGTCTAATTTAGTTAATAGTTAATCACAAATCCTCGTGGGATCGACATCCGACTTTTAGTCACTTTATTACTTGACGACTGCGTATACTTGCGTGTGCATTTGGCCGCCGTGATTTTGTATGGTCTGTCCCAGTTTTCCCTCATTAGGGTCTTTCGCTGTTTGTGTTTTAGCTTTGAGGACGTAATCTCCGACCTTGAGCGGTCGCACTTTGTCCTTCTTGTTGTAATACTTTTCTACTTGTTGCTTTTGGGCTAACATTCTTATGTGGGCCATGTCCCTTCATTCCTCGACTTTATCCAGATCTTGTAGCCTACTTTCATCATTGTTTAGTCCGCTTTCGTTGGAGTATCTCAAGCTAGGTTCTCCGACTTCGACGGGTATAACTGCGTCAGTCCCGTAGGCTAGTGAATATGGCGTCTCGCCTGTGCTAGTTTTTGGCGTAGTGCGGTATGCCTATAGTACTTCTGGTAGTAGTTCAGGCCATAGCCCTTTGGCATCCTCGAGCTTCTTTTTCAATATATTTAGTATTACTTTATTGGAGGATTCGGCTTGGCCATTGATGGCGGGATGATATGGTGTGGAGAGTATTCGTTTGATGTGCCATTTTTCATAAAACGCGGTCGTTTTCTTTCTGAGAATTGAGGTCCGTTGTCACAACTGATTTCTTTAGGGATGCCGAAGTGGCATCTTATATTTTTCCATATGAACGCGATGACCTCTTGCTCACGTATTTGAGTGTATGCACCTGCTTCCACCCATTTAGAAAAGTAATCAGTTAAAACCAAAAGGAAGCGTACCTTACCTCGTCCTGCCGGGAGGGGTCCGACAATATCCATCCCCTACTTTATGAATGGCCATGTCGAAATGACGGAAATGCATGAGTTCCCCTACTTGGTTTATCATAGGGGAGTACTTTTGACACTATTCACACTTTCTGACGTAGTCCGCAACTTCTTTTTTCATGGTGGGCCAGTAGTATCCGACGCGAATGAGGCATCGAACAAGGGCGTGGTTTCTCGTGTGGGTGCCACAATGCCCTTCATGTACTTCTTCCAGTACTCCCCTTGTTTGATTTGGCCCAAGATATTTGGCCAGGGGGCCGCCGAACACTCTCTTGTAGAGATCACAATATACGAGGCTGTATCTGGTTGCCTGTATTCAAAGCTTTTTGGCTTCTTTCTTATCTTGTGGGAGCATTCCATCCTCCAAATATGTTACGAGACGGTTGCATCAGTCCCAAGTTAGGTTCACAGAATGTACCTCGACTTGGTCTATTGCGGAATGGAGAAGAGTGAACAAGGTTTCCTTGTTGATATTTTTGGTGGCTGTTGCTAGCTTGGCGAGGTCGTCTACTTCGATATTCTGTGCCCTCGGTATTTGGTCGAGGCGGCACTCATCGAATTCTGGCAGCAGTTTGTGAATTTCTGATTGGTACTTTTGTAGTCTTTGTTCTTTTATTTCGAAAGTCTCAGTGACTCGGTTCACCACGAGTTGAGAGTCGCAATGGAGGACGAGTCATCGAGCGCCATATTTGAGGGGTAATTTCAATGCTGCAATCACAGCTTCATACTCGGCCTCGTTGCTAGTCATCTTGGGGCATCGTATGGATTGGAAAATTACTTCGCCCGTAGGAACCTCGAGGACGAGTCCCAGTCCCGATGCATTAAATGCGCCGTCAGTGTAGAGGACCTAGAGGTCAGAATGTGTGGAAGTGTGGAGCGCCTCCTGCTCTACTTCAGGCAATATTTTCGCGCTGAAATCAGTGACAAAATCGGCGAGCACCTACGACTTAATAATAGTTCGTGGTTGTTATATTATGTCGTGCTCGCTTAATTCTATGGCCCATTTGGCCAATCTACCCGATAGTTAGGGTTTGTGCAGGATGCCCCTAAGGGGGAAGGTATATGGTCTAAGCTTTCGTAAAGCTACGACTAATGCCAAAGCTAGTTTCTCAAACTGAGGGTACCTTGTTTCGGCATCAATTAAGGTTTTGCTGGTATAGTAAATCGGAGATTGAGTACCTTTGTTTTCGTGGATCAAGACTGCACTTACCGCGACTTCGGAGACTGCTAGGTACACTAGTAGGCATTCACCCGGGTCTGCCTTGACGAGCAGTGGTGGCGAAGATAGATACACTTTCAGCTTTCTCAGGGCGTCGACACATTCTGAATTCCACTATAGTCCGTGGTCTTTCCTTAGCACATTGAAGAATTTATGGCATCTGTCCAATGATCGTGAAATGAACCTTGAAAGGCGGCTATTCGTCCTGTTAATTTCTGCACCTGCTTCTTGCTGGTCAATGTCTCCGGTATTTCTTCGATGACCCTGATCTGATCCGGGTTGACCTCGATACCCCTTTGTGACACCAGAAAACCAAGGAACTTTCCTGAAGTTATGCCGAAGGTGCACTTTTCGGGATTTAGTTTCATTCCGTATTACCTCAATATCTCGAAGGCTTCCTTTAGATGGCCAATGTGATCCTCTTTCTTTTTTGACTTTACTAGCATGTCGTTGAGGTAAACCTCCATGGTTTTACCGAGTTGTTCTTTGAACATCTTTGTGACTAACTTTTAATACGTCACCCTTGCATTCTTGAGTCCGAACGGCATTACCTTGTAGTAGTACGTTCCTCGGTGAGTGATGAAAGTGGTCTTTTCTTGGTCTTCTTCAGCCATTAGAATTTAGTTGTCACCAGAGTAGACGTCTAAGAAGCTCAGTAGTTCGTGTCCCGCCGTTGCGTCAATGAGCTGGTTGATATGTGGTAACAGAAAGGAATCTTTCGGGCATGATTTGTTCAGGTCGGTGAAGTCGACACACATCCGCCATTTCTCGTTCTTCTTTTTGACCATGACCACATTGGCGACCCATTGGGGATATTTCAATTTTCAGATGGAACCATTAGCGAGTAATTTATCAACTTCTTCGTTGACCGCCTCATTGATGGTGGCATTGAACTTTCTCCTCATTTGTCGTACTGGCGGGTAAAGAGGATCGACATTCAGCCTGTGTGTGGCGATGTCCCTTAGGATTCCTGGCATATCTGAATAGGAAAAGGCAAACAAATCGATGTTGTTAGTTAAGAACTCATGATACTTACCTGGTTCTGAGAGGTTGTGTCCGATATTGGCCTTTTTGCGCTATCTGTGTTGTCCAGTTGGATGGGGTCGAGATCTTCTACGGTTCCCTTGCAAGCTTCTACGACATCCTGGTCTTTAATGGACTCTATTTGTATGTCGGGTTTGGTTCCCAATATGGCTGATTGCTATGCTTTTGCACTTGCCCCTTTTAGTGGTTTGGTGTTTGCAATCTTGGGCGATCCGATAGCATTCTTGGGTAGTGCATTGCTTGCCTCGGATGCTAAATATCCCCCATGGGGTAGGAAATTTAATTATTTGATAGAAACTTGACGGGATGGCTCGCATGGCGCAATGGATGCCCTATGATGACGTTGTAGGCTGTCTCCTGGTTCATGACGTGGAACGTCGTCTCCAGGGTGACTCCTCCTGCCAGAATGGGTAGCACTATCTCTCTAGAGGTTCGCTCCACTAAATTATTAAAAACCGTTAGTGTTATGCAATGCGGTACTATTTTATCCTCGAGCCTCATCTTCTTGAGAACTCGTGGGTGAATAATACACGTGTCGCTTTCGTCATCCACCATTATTCTCTTTATGTCGGTATCCGCGATGCGTAAAGTTATAACCAAAGCATCATAGTGAGGGAAAGACAAACTGTTGGTATCCGACTTATCAAAGATGATACTATCTTCGAGGTCATCATACCGTTCGTGGGTGACTGTCCATTTGAGTTTGTGTGTGGTGGTGAGCTTCACGTGGTTGATTATCGTATTGTCGCCACCGCCAATGATCATTTGTATGGTACGAGCTGGCGACGATGGTTTTAGGGGTCCCTGAGGTTGATCGCGCCTACGAGCAAAGTTGACTCGTCCTCGGTCGCTTAGCAGTTCTTTCAGGTGTCCCTGATTTAGCATTCTTACCACTTCCTGTCGTAGACCTATGCAGTCCTCGATCTTGTGCCTCCTTTCCTGGTTAAATTCATATAGAACGTTCGATCTACGGGTGCTCGGATCTGACTTCATCTTTTGCGGCCACTGCACCTTTGTGCCGAGCTTTTCCAGTGCGTACACTATTTCTGAAGAAGAAACACAAAAGTTATGAGCAGATAACAATAGAGGCATACCTCTTTCATTTCGGGGTAGTGCGGTGTGTCGAGGTTCAACATCTGCATGTCACGGAGGAGGTGGGTTGGATGTTCGGATATAGGGCTGGTGCCTTTATCGATTGATACGGGGTAGTTGGTCCATTCGGCCATCGTTGCGGCGATCTCTCCTTGCTTCAATTTGGACCGATGTTAGTCACTGGATCGGACCGTTCAGGTCATCCTCGTTTGCCCTCACTTCGGCGCAATAGGCATTATGGATCTCTTCCCATAT